TTAAAAACAAAACCCCAAGTTCCCAATAACCCTTAACGCCTCATTAAATTCACATAATGTTTTTCAGTGCACAGAAGCTGCAAGTCGCTGTAATTAGTCAGTACTTTCTATGTGCGTCTATGATGTACGTGTGCTTTCATAAAACGAGAACGAAATTCTCTTTACATGCAGAATGAAGATTTACCTTTCTACAAGTATGGAAACGAGAGCCCAATGATCAGTGCTCCTCCCCACCACCCCACCACCCCCTCCTGGGGTGAGCCCTTTGCCGCTACATGTCCCTGTCATGAGACACTAATTAAACAACGGGGCCACCCAGTCATAGACTGGAGACTTCAAAGCTATGAGCAATGTAATGAATTTCTTTTCCTCTTTATAAGTCAGCTGCCTCCGTATTTTGTGACAGTGACAGAATACTGAGTAATACACGGGGTGTCCCGCTACAGTTAAGTTCTTTCACAATGACTTCAGCCATGCACTTGCTTCAGACGGCGGTGGACAGGGCTGAGGGCTCACACAGCAGGCGGTGGTCTCCTCAGTGCGGCAGCTCTGAGAAGTCCGTGTTCTGAAGGAGCCGCGATCTGAGCGAGGCTCTTAGAGGGTGCAGGTATCAACTCTATGGCATATGTTTAAAAATCGGGCAGCGAAACAGACTGGGCAATGGGAATGCTCCGTGCACGGAGGCCAGCGTTGTGGAAGCCTCCAGATGAGCCTCCTGCCTTCCGCTCGACTGCCAACTGTGCCAGCGGACCACCACCCAGGAGTAAAGAGCCTGCGCCGTTTTGTAATTGATCAGGAAAGGCCAACAGTTTCCATTCGCTTCCGTTGTCACTTTGAAATTTTCTCTGAGAGAAAGCAAAAGAAAGTTGTACTTCACGGTGTTCAGAGTCAGGATGAGGGTCCCCTTCCACGAGATGGAGGCTGTCCCCGCTGATGCCACGCTCCGGGGTCAAGTTAAATGCAGTCTGGCATTATGGTAATCAAAATTTTCATTTTTTTTTTCCTTTACATCACAGCGATTCTGTTCCCAAAGTTGAAGTTCCGAGTCGGTGCCGACAATCCCCGGGCTTCGTTTGGTAGAGACCAGGAGAGCCTTGTAGAATGTTGGGGGTGTGTGTCTAGGAGAGTCAAGGAAAGGAAAGCTTGGCACTGGGGGCTGGAAAAGAATGGGGCCTGCGGGCGCGAGAACCACAGAGCAGAGACACCAGTGGACCGACCCAGCTTTATGTGAAGTGTTGTTGGCACACAAGTGAACCAGGAAGGAAAGAGATGACTGTTGGGCTTCAGCATCACGGCCAGGCAAGCCCTGCTCTCCCAGATCTAACTTCCTCCTGTCCTTACTTTCCTCATCTACAAAACAGCAATACTCGCTCCCCTGAGACGGCGTGCCTTTCTTTGCTAAAACCCCACGGTTAGCGAGTCCCAGGATCCTCCTGTCTACGGGGTTACAGGCACATGCCCCCACGGGTGGCTCTCATGCTGCTTCTGTGACAAGCACTTCACACAAGGCGCCATCTCTCCAGCTTCCGCGAGCACCTTTAAAAGAAGGAAGCCAGACATGAGGTGAAACAAGGACCTGTAATTTCTATAAACCTGCAAGCTGATGCGATTTTACTTATTGGAAGATTGCAAGGATGTAAGAGTCTCAAAGATGGCTACCGATGGTTTCCTAGGTGACCTTGAAATGGATACCTATTATCTTGTCTCTAGATGAGAATAATTGTGTCTACCACCAACAGTATGAGATCGGGATGAGATAAATGCTTCCTTAGCGTATAAGCATACCTTGCTGTAGGGTATGCAAGACGAAAATTATCTAGAGAGCAATTTGCACAACAAAGTGAATGTATGTCACATAAAATTTAATATAAATTTATGACGTGTTTTCGTCATAATTTAAAATAAAATATTGCAATATGTGTGTGTGTGTCTATGCATATCCATGTGTATGTACTAAGTGTTTAATAAATACGCAATATCTATTATCATCCTTCTCATTTTGTTTTTCAGGAGTGCTGGGTATGACACACTGTGCTGGGACCAGGGTTTACAGGGAAGGCATCACTGCTGGCCCTGGGAGCTCGTGTAGGAGGGAGCTAGGGTTTTTGCAGTTGTCACTGAGGACACTGAGCGTGGGGCAGGGATGGAGGTCAGCTGGGTGGGAGGAATTGACCCTGTGTGCCTCTGTGGTCAAGGGAGGAGACAGAGAAGGCCCCAGTGGGGTTTGGGACCTGAGTCAAGTTTTGGGGGACACAGTGGAGCTGTCAAAGCCTAGGTGGCAGGTTCTGGGTTCTTTGATTTTGTGCTGGGAATGTAAGCCCTGCCTGCATGACTTAGATAGCTACAATGAAGGCGGTTAAAATTCTGTGCCCTCAAGAGGGTAGTGGATGTGCAAGGAGTAAGACTGAGCCCTGAGAAAACACACCGAGGCCAGCACTGGGGGGGCAGCAATCTGGTCCTCTGTGTGACACACACACCATGTAGGACGATGTGTCTCCAGTTGCCTGTCACTGTGGATCTGACTCTCACACTATTGGGAATCTGGGATGGCATTCTCTTCTACCTAGATCCGCACCCCCCCCCTCAACCTCTCTGGAGTCAAAATGGCGGGTGATGGACCTTCCTCTCCAGCCAAGAGGGCACTGGAGCTAATCCGCACCTAAGCCTTACAGCTCAACGAATTACATTGTGCATTAGTTTTATTGCAGACTGGTGGTGATAATAAAATTAGTTCTCATCCACATTATTGGCTCATAATGAGAGCTACACGAGCAAAACTGATACGATCTCGCCGCCGAGTCTTCTGTGTCCAAGCAACCAAGCAGACTGCACGGTTCCGGTTCTCCTCTTCCTCTTTCCTCCATTTTTAGGTTGTTTCCGAATCCTTTAAAATAATAAAACCCATTTCTACTGGACTTTTTTTTTCTAATAGCTCCTAGGTAGGGTGACTACATAATTTAACATCCAAACTGGGACAGTCGTGAGGGCAAAGGCAGGCTATTAATAATTAGGTCGGGACAGTAGCATACGCCAGCAGGCTGCTGCAAACCCCACAGCTGGTAACCCTATTTTTAGGGGCAAGCTGACCCTCTCCTGCAGTCCTGCCAAGCAATGCCGCTTTCTTAATTTCTTTAAATGCCCCTTTTACTTTTAAACTATTAATTTGGGGCAATCATTTTGTTTTTGTAAATTTAAAGTTTCTCCTTGTGACAAACCTGGCTATATTGTGCAACTTCAGGACACACTTGAGAGATTAAACTGGTGAGAAACAGGGATATTTATAGCCAGACATAGATTGTCAGTGGCGTCCTTTGGTGTGCCGACCAGAGGTCAGTGGGGAATCTGGGCTGACAATTCTTCAAGCCAAATCTGTGATCCGAACCTAAATGTAAAAAGGTCCCAACTCCCCCATAAGTCTCAGGAAACATTTGGTGGGTGACACTAGACCATCTTTCCACTCCATCAAAGTCACGGAAGGTCCACCTTTGGGGCTGGGACCAAATGCAGTTGGTAGAGGGCTTCCTTAACATGCGTGAGGTCCCGGATCAGATCTCCAGCACCGCATACACCAGGCACGGGGACACACACCTGCAATCCCAGCACAGGGAGTGGAGAGAGGAGGACCAAAGTTCAAGGTCGTTTTTGCCTAGGGAGTACATTTGTGGCCAGCCTCATCCTTGACTTTTTCTAAAGTAAAAATAAAATTAAAAGCCCGTCCTTTGACATCAGAATGGATTAGGCATTTCTGAAAAATGACCTCATTTAGAAATACCAGGTAGTGTCGGGGAATCCTGACCTGGACTCCAGGCCGATTCCACGGGAACTGATCAGTGAGCAGCCTTGCCGTCAGCTATCCATCATTATCCAGTGGTGCCTAGCCAAGCCATGGTTGTCAGCAGCAAACCATGAGGCTTTCTGATGTTGATGGCTCCAGTGATCTTGAGGCACGTGGTAAGGGTCTTGATGCAGGAACCACTGTCCCAACAGGACTGCTGTAGTCTCCAGTCACATAGGCCTGTGTGAAGTCCAGCTGTGACCGCACACAGGACCTCAATGAGTTTTGCTAACTGTAGAACCCCATAGAGGTGTGAGCCTCAGTGTTTATGGGATGCATTGAATGGTCTGGCCGTTATAGATTGACTTGCTGCATATCCAGATGTTTGCACAGCCCGTCACATGTTAGCTGGGGTCGCCCCACTAAGGGGTAGCTTTTGCGTATCTGATGCCAATAGCAACCTTCACGTGTGTATAGGAACAAAGTGGCTTCAAGTTAAAACATGTACAGAGACCTGAGAGAGTAAATAGCTAGCAGGAGAGGAAGGGAAGAAAGTGGGAAAGAAAAGAGAGAGGAGGAAGGGAAAGGAAGCAGGAGGGAGGGGAGAGAAACAAGGGAAGGAAACAGGGAGGGAAGAAGGAAGAGAAGAAGGAAAGAAGAAAGGAAGAATGGCAAGGGAGGGGGTGAGCAAAAGGAGCCAAAGAGGGTGCAGAGAGAAACAGGCTTGAGAGAGAGATAAGGCTGTCAGCAGAGGGCTTTGCTTTTCAGTTCCCCTGAACAAGGAGTATGACCACCGTGCCACCGTTCCAAGGACACTGGGAAGGGTGGACTCAGATTTTCCCTTGAAGCAAGACAGAAAGTGGGTCGGAATCACACCTCTATCTTGGCAGGTGTGGAAGGGATTTGCTTTGTCTCCTCCATGTGTACGGCAGGCCTCAGGCACCCGAGGCTGGTCCCATGCTGATGTCCACATCTCCAAGGCCTGGGCACCACAGGGGGTTGCCACCTGGGATGGGGGAACTGCTTAAGGCAGATCTTCACCAGGTCGCACGTGGTAGTCTTTTATGGGGCTGGTTCTCCGTCCTGACTCAAGCAAACAGGTCTGTGCCGTGTGTGTGTATTTAGAGAGGAGTGTGTACGAGCCGGGGCATGCGTGTGGGTGCATGATGTCTGGATGGGTGTGATTAAGCGAGAAAACGCAGGCTTTTCTTTGTTTATTTTGCAGATAAATCTCACCTCTAATCCAGTGCACAGCAACGTCTTGGGCAAAGGCAAGGGAGCCCTGATACCGCGGATGACATCCATATAAATCACAGGCTTTATCCCTGAGCTGGGAGGGGCTGTGCCCATCGCAGCGACGTCGCGCACTCTCATTGGCTGAGGCTTCATTACTTGACTGAAAATCCCCAGGGCTGAAACGTTATTTAAATGTGCTATGAAAATAAATGTGATTTACACACGTGTCGTCTGTGGAGCTGTCCTTCCCTGATTCTGCAGGTGCTGTCGAGCCTCAGGATTAGTGCCTCAATTTATTGCCAGTTCAAGCTACACACACGCTCAGTGACAGGACATTGTCCACAGCCCCAGAAGTTCCAGAAAGGAGACAGTGTCTACTGACTGGTGGGTTTTGGCTGGTCCGTGGTGTGTTTAACTTTACGGACTGAGCGCCTGTGTGTTTGTATGCACGTACACATGTGTCTGCACGCGTGAACGAAAGTCCCAAAACCGGCCCCATTTCCTTCGAAGGTCTCAGGGAACAGGCACTTTGAACACAGATGCATCGGTTTCCAGCAGCAGGATGATGTTTCTTCTGGTCGAAAGAGAAAGAAGAAAGCATGGTGTGTATTTGGGCAGGGCTGGGCCCCACGTGTTTAGCTCCAAGTGAGTGGAAATCTCTTGAAACGCAGTTTTAGGGTAATGAATGTCAGCGGGCTTTCAGTCTAAATGAGACGTGGTTCACAGGAAGGCGTGTTTGGGACGTTTCCGTTTCCGAAGGGAAGGGCTTGACTGAAGGGGTGAAGACGGTCCCTCCAAGGGCCTTTTCCAAAGGTTTTCACAACTACTCCCAGGGTCAGTTCCTTTCCTCTTCTTCTCTTCCCCCCATCCCAACAGTGAAGGTTCTCATTGAGATGTTGTGTCTCATTGTCTGAGGAGTTCATACATGCATATAATGCATTTTCACATGCATATAAAGCATTTGGATCAAATCTCCTTCGTTCCTTCCCTGCAATTCATCCACTACATCTTCATAGCTCCATGTTTGTTTTTTTTAAAGTCTAATGAATCGACTTTGTGTTGCTTGTCGGTGCATGGATTTTAGGACTATCCTGGAACGCAGAAAGCCTCCTGGTGACCACATCTATGATAAAAACTCTCCCTGCACTAATGGCCATCATTTGCCAATCGCTAATCAGGGGTGTGGCTTCGTGAGTCCCTCTCCATGCTAGGATTTCGGCTGCCTTGATCTTGTCTTCTGCCTGGAGTCACAACCACCATGAGTTTATGTGTGCAACAGCCCATGTCTGGCATGTGCCCCTTTGCTGTGGATGTCAGCTACCTGTGGCTCTTACAGTGTCCACACCTTCTTCGGTGAAGATTCCTGAGCCTTCCATGGAGAGGATGTGAGATAGATGTCCCACTTAGTGTCCATCACCCCCCAGTCTCTTACTCTCTGTACACTGACCAGCTGTGGTTCTTTGTGTCATCACGTCCTGTAAAGACAACCTTCTTTGGTGAGGGTTGAGAGAGCCACTAATCTATGGGTATACTGATAAGAACAGGGCTGGAGAGATAACTCAATGATCAGGAACATTTGTTCTCATAGAGGACCCTGGCTCAGATGCCGTCATCAAGAGAGTGGCTCACAAATATCTATAACTATAGTTCTAGGGGATCTAATGCCCTCTTCTGACCTCTACAGGCTCCGGGTACATATATGGTGTACATGTGTATGCATTCAGGTTGTTGGGTCCGGCCCGACTGGTCCGTATGTTCTGAGATGGGGAGTGTGGATTGAGGAAAGAAATAGACAGGAGACAGAAGAGAGAGTCAGGAGGACCTCCAGTGAACATTGTAACAAAAAAGCCCCGAGTTTATTACTCATAGTTCTTATATACGCCAATCAAAAGGGAGGGCACAAGACTTTCGTCATACAAAGAACAAGAAAGTGTAATTACCTCCTTACCACTCAAAACCCCTGGTATCCACGTCCTAAGTCAAACATCCTGTTCTCTGGCCTTTGAGGAGCAAAGCATCCGGTAGCCACACCTTCGGTCAAATGTCCTGTTGTTCATCCTTGAGGGACAAGAATAGGTCTGAACTCTCTGACCTTTGGTCAAGATGGGCTGGAACCAAAACTGTGGGCCCTGACACAGGTAAAATACTCATACACATAAAATAAATAAACTAAAAAACACCTTTTATAGAAAGATAAGAACTTGGGGACAGCTTATTACTAGTTCTCTTTGCATAATAATGTTAATAGGTCCTTGGGCTCCTGACTTAGCCAGCTATGGGATTTTAACCCAGCCAGTGGAACCAGGCATGGGTTCTGTCTTCCAATCAGAAGGTGGTTGCTTAAAACTGTAATATTTGTATACTATGTCCTGGCATAGCTTTCCAGGACAGTTTTTATTGTCATTTGCAGGGTTTACAGCTGGGCAAGGCCATTGATTACCTCGAGAAAGGTAAATAACCTATACCTGGTCTATAGCCTATACCTGGTCGTAACCTATACTTGGTCTATGACCTATACCTGGTCTATAACCTATACTTGGCCTTGGCCCTTTTATCTGAAAGTCTCTGGAGTCTGGGGGAGGGGGGCACTGGCCCCTGTTATAGGGCTGCTCGCTTTGAACTCCTTTGTATATGTTTATATATGTTTGTGTAGATATTTTAGGAACTTCTACAGTAGTAAGTTTTCTGGGGTTTTCAAAGGTCCTCAGTGTTAGTTATCCCTCCTCATACTTGTTCATCTGCCTTGCCCTCCTGTTACCCCGGTTAACCTGTTCTGCCGGTCTCCTTTCCCGCTTGCTGTATACCGCCAGCGTTCTCTGTCCCTTCCCTTGGACAGCCCCTCAGCCCCATGCCTTACTAGTTTCCTGTCTTCTGTGATTACTCCAGTTTAAACACGTGTATCTAAAGATTTTACTCAGTGATCTCTTTTTTTTTTTTTTTTTTTTTTTTTGGTTTTTCGAGACAGGGTTTCTCTGTGGCTTTGGAGCTCGTCCTGGAACTAGCTCTGTAGACCAGGCTGGTCTCGAACTCACAGAGATCCGCCTGCCTCTGCCTCCCGAGTGCTGGGATTAAAGGCGTGCGCCACCATCGCCCGGCACTCAGTGATCTCTTAAATGGAGCCTATGCCTTTAAGTTTGTTTTAGATCAATGTCGGCAAGCAAATCAAGGAACTTACAAGTATAGTCTGCTAGGGTTTCATTCTGAATAAGCAACAATGTAACCCCAGCTACTTCAGAGGCTGAGGCAGGGAGGTCACGAGTTGAAGGCTTGCCTAGGCCTTAATGAGACCCTGTCTCAAAGTAAAAAGTAAGACGAGGACAGGGAGTATAGCCCAGTGGTAGAACACTTGCCTTGTATTTGCAAGGCCCTGTGTCAAATCCTGAGCAACACAAAATAAATAAGACAAATAAAAATAAATAAGCAAGCAAGGATAACTTTGGATGTCTTAAAATAACAATTGTTTTGTTTTGAGATAATTTCAGGTTTACCTAAAATTTTCAGAAAGAGTAACAAAAATTGTAGCGGACCCTTTACAAAGTTCCTCAGAGAGCAACATGTTAGATATTTGCTTTATCACTCTGTATGTGCGCATGCGTATGTGTGTGTGTGCGCACGTGGCACTATGTATCTGTGCCACCGTGTGTGTGTGTGTGTGTGTGTGTGTGTGTGTGTTTTCTTTTCTGAGTGGTTTGAGAATAAGTTGTAGATATGCTACCTTTTGTGTTTATTTCCTAAATCCATTTACATAGCTGCCGTGCGATTACCAATGCAAGAAGTTAATGTCTTCCGAGTATTTATGTACAGACAACTCTGAGCCATATCTTACCACTCCCCTTTCTAGGAAAAAAAATGTTTTTGCATACTTGGGGAGGATTCTGTCCTATTTGTGAGGACCCATTTGAAAAGATGAAGTCTGTTAAAGCTTTACTATATTAAACTGACAAATCAACATTATTCTTAAAATCTATTGGTACTGGGCTGGAGAGATGGCTCAGTGGTTAAGAGCATTGCCTGCTCTTCCAAAGGTCCTGAGTTCAACTCCCAGCAACCACATGGTGGCTCACAACCATCTGTAATGGGGTTTGGTGCCCTCTTCTGGACTGCAGGCATACACACAGAATATTCTATACCTAATAAATAAATAAATATTTTTTAAAAAAAATCTATCGGTACTGTATCTTTGTGTGTACTGTAGCTACCTATGTACTGAATCTGTGTATATACTGTGTCTATGTTCGTCTTTACTTGATATTTCCCTTTTATAGTTATAATTAAATGTCTGTAATCAGCAAATTTAAAACCTTAATATTCTTGGGCCAAAATAAGCCCACAAAATAACCAAAATAGCTCCACCAGGCTGTGGGGTTCATGTGACCCAAGTTTAGCGAGTCTCTTACTTTGCTATTCCGTTTGAAGCTATACTTTCCTCTTTGCCACTCACAGGTTCTGAATGCCTCGGCCATGACTTTGCCTGTGCGCCCGGAGTGAGTAAAACGGAAGTCCAAGGGAATGTTTGCCAAGTGTTATGGGACCTGGTGATTTGGTTTTGAAAACGTGTCTCAGTGAAACATGGCGCCCGCTGAACTGTGCCCCCGGGGTGCCACTGGGTAAAGCCCGCTCCCATGAGCCCACCTTAGCCAGGCGCTGACCAGTCATGAGAAGAAAAAACAGCATTGCTCAAGGATTGACAGCTGACCACCAGAAGGGTTGGGGGATTGCCTTTTATAAAGTCGGTGTTGACAGACAGGCCTCGCGTCTGTTTTATAGGCGATTGCAGGAGTTCTATTAGCCCTCTCCCAGGCGGCACTTAGGTTTCTGTGACATGATCTGACCTGCGGTTTATCCAGATCGCTGTAGTTATAAGCCAGGTTGTAAGGGCATTTGCTTAACTGTGTGTGCTCTGGTACAGTAAACCTGTTGTAAAAACCAAGCCAATAAGGGCTCCTGTTGTTCCCGCTGGTGCCCGGTGTCGGTAGGAGAGCAATCAACCAGTTCCAGTCAAGCCGTATCCAGGCAGGTTTGTAAAAGCCCTTTATTCCTCTCGGGGAAATGATTTGAGTCTTAGGAAGGAAACACATGGCTTTCTTCTTACAGCTCAGCCTTCTTCTTGCCAGCTGCATTATTCCCCTTGGCCTGGCACAAATGAAGGAGACTTTGATGAACTATGAGCGGCCACTGCCGTGGAGGGGAGGCTGAGAGACCAGGAGTCAAGGTGCTGTTCCAAGGTACTTCTTCTGCCTTATCTCTGAGATCACTGCTTCAAGGTGAGAGAAGCCCCAAGGGGCCTGGGTTACCTGACGGAATGGTTTTCTGCGTGTTGGGCTCTTTAGGAAAGCAATGCTGGGAAGGTAAAAGCAGCCCCGCCTCCAGCCCACTTCGGTCTCTTCCACTACCGGCTGGGCTCAGCATACTTTAAAGCAAATTCCTGCTTTTTTGTTTAAATGTGTTGTTGTTGGTTTTTTTTTTCTTCTGTAAGGTGTTAGCAATCTGTCTTATGTTCTCCCACCCCTGCTGGGATTTATGATCCAGTTTGTATTTTACTACATGATCTTGGCAGGTTACCCTACTTGAAATTCAAGCCCAAGCAACTTGATGGGGGAGCAGGCATAAAAATATTAATTTGGTGGATATTAAAAAAAATCACGCTGGTTATAAATCAGGGGCTGTCCACTGGTTCCTTTCATCATCTAAATGGTCCTTCTAACCAGACCACAAATCTTCCTGGGGAGGAGGGGTGCTTAGAAGGTGGGGGGTTCCCTTCCTGAAGTTTTGGAGACAGCTTACATCCAACACTTCCTCAAACCTGGCTTTGTTTTCTGAAGGTAATAAAAAGTCGGTACTTCCAGTATAGGCAGGCTAATTAGCCAGCCTCGCTAACAGGCTCCGGGCTTAGAAGAAAGTTGGCTTGGTCTGAAGGAAGCCAAGCTGTAGACATTCTAAATGGCGATTAAAATGGGAGTTAGGGAACTTTGGATGAGTGTCATTCCTTTTGGAGGCATAGTGATGGGGGGAGGGGTGCGTGGGGCCGGGAGGACCCACTGCTATGATGGTGGTGGATTAGATGAATCCGGCTTCGGCTAGCAAGGACGAGAAGCAGTGTGCCACAGCAGGTGTGTACCTATGGCAGAGTGGGTCTGGGAGACACGCGTGCATCTCCTGCCAGCCTTTGAATATTCGGTAGGGGCCATGACGACCTATAACCAGCAGAGGGAGGGTAGGGGCAGTTCCATTCCTATTGAGCAGAATTTAAAAGTAGCCAAGAATTCTGCCTCCAATGATACTGTTTTAATAGATTCATTTCCATGTCATAACTGATCTTTACAGTTAAAAAGCTCCTGATAAGCACTTGAGAATTTCATGAAAACTCTGGGAATTGGTTTTTAACAGTGGTGGGTGGTTGGAAGGCTAAATAATTCTCTAAGAAGGTACTAATCAAATGGAAAGCTGTCCTTATCTCACACACACACACACACACACACACACACACACACACACACACACACTAACTGGAATCCTAGAAGTCTCGGGTTTGATTTAGTGGCACAGAATCTAACCAAACAGGCTTATGGTGATATGGAGTCCCAAATAACTGGATATCGAAGATAAAGAGAAAATCCAGTAGCTGGAAATGGCAACCGGTTTTCTATAAAAACCAAAGCAAGCTGCTAGTTTGGAATGCTAGCTTGCCAGCAGAAGAAAGGAGAAATAGCCGGTGCTCTGTTATTCTTCAAAGGAAAACTATTGCTAATAATTGGCTCATATTACATTTTTGCCATCTTCAGGGGCAGCCTTAAAGAGGGGCTTCATTTCTGTCTGAAGAACATAACGATGAAAATGATTTCATCTTTAACAGATTGTTCTACTCGGTTACTGTGCAATCTCATCCTGACAAAGCCTTGGACTTGAAAAATGATACTCTCGTCTCTAAGAAATGGAAGGTGGGAGAGGGTGCGGGGATTCGGAGCTTCACTCCGAAGCAATTATGGGCTCTTCATGAGGCTCAGACAAGAATTGATTTTTAATTTTAGATGATTAAGCTGTGGGTGCAAGGAAGTTAGGATATGTGACCTTCTTTTGACCTTGAAGATTGAATTCTCCTTGAATGGATTCAGTAAGGGAAAGGAAAGCTTTCAAAGGCAAATTTCTGCCTTATTATTCCCAAACGCTCTTCTCGCCTCTCCCCTACTCTTACCAAAGCCTGCTTGTTTATAAAGACGGACAAATAAATAGGATTATCTGTGGGGTTTTGGATGTGAACATATATAAATTTGAAGTAATTGCAATGTGGTAAAGAAACCTAGAAGCAGGAAAACCCTTCACAAAGCACTTGCTACTGCAACTTCAGGTACGCTGGCTCCACCATCGCCGTGGTCCCTCTCTTGCATCCAGAAGAGCAGAGCACCAAGCTCCTGCCATCTCACTGAATGGCTTCTGGAAATAGTGTAGGCATACCTATTGAGATACTGCTTTTTAAAGATCTTTTTATCTGCATGGATATTTGCGTGCATGTATATCTGTGAACTGCATACCTGATGCTCATGGAGGCCAGAAGAGGACATTGGATCCCCTGGGACTGGAGTTACAGATGGTTACGAGCTGCTATGTAGGTTTTAGAAAATGATCCCCAGGTCCTCTGCAAGAGCCATCAGCGCTATGAACCTTGAGCCATCTCTCCATTGCCCCAACCTCAGTACTGATGGCAATAGCCTCAGGTGACCCTTGAATGGTCCTCTGGTGTGTGTGGGGGAACCTGCCCCTGCTGTCCCTGTGAAGGAGGTCCCGGGCCTCCTTTCCTGTCCTCTGTCCAGATTGAACCACTTTCCAAAATGACAGATGTACATTCTGACTAGATTTGGGGCTTTGGATTGTCCTAGACTCCTCCCACCCTGCCCTGGACTTTTCTGGAGGCTACCCCCTTTCTTGTTCATTCCTATCTTCCTCCACCAGGGTCTTTTAATGTTTTTCCATGACTGAGCATAACTTGAACCTAGGGCCTTGGGCAAGTTAGGGAAGCACTCTACCACTGAGCCACATCACCAGCTTTCTTTTTACTTTTTGGGATTTTGAGACAGGCACTCACTAAGTTACTCAGGCTAGCCTTGGACCTATTCTATAGTTCAGAAAGGCCTTCAATTTTCAGTCTCCCAAGAGGCTGGGATTACTGACCTGTGCCATTGGTCCTGGCTACTCAGAATCTTTTCTGGAAAGTTTCCTCCTGCCTGTCAGAGAGTCTTCTGTGCCCTTTCCTGACCATGAACTCCAGGCCGTTCTCACCCTGCTCTCGGCTGCCTCTGGGGTGGCAGGCAGCTGCTCACCTTGGGACTTAGTGGAGATGCGCCCCCCTCGCTTGGGTTTCTTCCATAGCTTAGAGGTGATGCACTCCTCCCTGGAGCTTCAGTTCCTCGGTCTCAGACTCACTCTTTTGCAGAATGGTAGCACATACAGGGTTGCTAAGGAGATAACAGAAGCCAGAGCACAAAGCCCGGCCCACAACGGGTGCTTTACAAATATCCAGTCTTTTTTCGTCCTAAGGGACTATGTCATGATCCTGCAGCGCCTTCCTTTCCATCCAGGGTGGGAAGATTTCAGAGCGTGGCTGTTAATTACTGAAAGCTTAGGTCAGTAGTGTGTCCCACAATATTATCAGTAGGTTACATTTTCTCTTGATCTTTCAGGGAAGGAATGATCAAAACCCTTGGGCAAGGGTGAGCTGAAGGGGATTCATCCTGAGAAGCAACACCTGAAGGAGAAGTGATGGGAAGCCGGCTCCTGACGGCAGAGCCCTTCAAACTTCCAAATGCTATGGTGAGAAGGAGCTTGGGGATCCACCATTACGAACCTCTCAAATGCCCAAATGCCTCTAGGCCTCTAGAAGGAGCTGTGGCAGTCAGCGGTCAGACAGAAACAATTCAGAGGGTTATGAGAAAAAGCAAGGAGGGTCACCATGGCACAGTAGCTCTTCCTTCGGACAAAAACAAAGGGACCCTGGGACAGCCTGATCTTTTGAAAAGGATTGTCACATGACCACCACAACCACAGAGTGATGTTACCCTGATGAGAGCAAGAGTCCTCCTTGATTGACACTGGACCTCACTGAAGAGGTGTTCTGGAAAGCTTTAGAAAGTGACGTCCCTGCTGAGTGACCAAACCATGACCACTGAGTGTTTGCCGCTCCAGAACAATGCATGTGCATACGTAAACGCTATAAAATTAGTGTGGACAGCTGGCCAATCATTAACTAACAGCAGCAACCGTCTTCAGATAGCCCTCCAGGGAGTCTGCAGGAGGAAGCAGCCCTGGACCTCAGGAGGAAGAAGGTGAGGTGAAGAAGAATGAGCTGTGTAGACGCCACCACACCTCTCGTCTTCCCTCCTCCCCACTCCAAAGGGAACAAACAAGAGAGCCATCACACGACCCATCTGTCTGCCAGGCATACCCCCAAACCAGACGCCAAATGAGCACTGGGCACACAAGGCTGTGCCCGGCGCAGGATAATTGTGCCATAAATATAATTAAAGTCAGCAGGAAGACCATTAAGGAGAAAACCAAACTTTAAAAAAAAACTAGTACTAGTGAGGAAAATATCATACATTCTTTTTATTTCAGCCTAATTTTGTTTACATGATTCATACAGTTTCCAAGCGCATCCCTGGAGAACATTAGGCTGGCACCACATGCATAAACATTCATATATAACATGCAAATTAGAAACAATCTCAGGATTTATATAGAAATTACAGCCACTTCTAGCAAATTAATTCAATGACAGAAAGAGGGTTACTGTCTCTATTCAAATCAAGAGGGGGAAATATTGGGCGAAGCAAATTTATTTATTCAGGAGATTCGTTCCCTTCCAGGGGCTGATGTCCCTTTAGCCTGGAGATTTCCATTTTTTTATTGGATATGTATTGGTGATTGAATTTACTTTGAATTCGGGACCAGTCAATGAGGGCCATAATGGGCTGTTTTAAGTGATAGCATTGCTAATATTGTCATAAAGCCGATGAGGCCGGGAGGTTTTCTGTGGAGACATGGCTGAAAGAAGAAAGTTTCTTGAGTTAAAATATTCAAGATTATTGAGTCAGAGAGCGGCAAGGCCCCATGAGTGAGAGCTTACCAGTTTATGGTCAAAGAGACTGTGCTCCAGAGATGTGGCCTGACCAAGCCTATAAAGAAAATGATTTCCAAAAGCAGACCAGAGCCTGGGTCTGCTCCGCCAGGCACTTCATCAGCACACTCCTGGGTTTGACTGGAAAGGGAAGGTGACATTCGAGTACATTTTCATAGAAAATTTTCTTGGCATCTTTTGATGGTGATGTTGCTGCTGGAGCCTCGGGTAGATGGGCTGTCGGAACAAAGCCTTTCCCTTCATCTTCTTCATGTCTTTCTCACTGTGACTTTCTAGTCCTGGAAATTGGGAAAGAACAGGCTGACTCACATCAGCCAGCACAGCGCAGTGATGGAGACTGAGCCCTGACCTGGTGCTGCTGAGCCTCCTTCACCCTGTTTTCTCTTGCTAGCTGTGGGAAGAAGCCCCGCCTGGCCTGCAGGAAGGATGGGAGAGCAAGTATTTGGAACATACGTATACCAGAAATTATCTGTTCTTTGTCCTAAAGTAACAGAATCTTTTACTTCATCTGTAATTCAACACATTGAAGAGATCCCAGGTGTCACTGCTCAGTATTAGCTGGCCAACCAGAAAACCATGACAGGGCCTGGCCAAGAGCATCCGATCTATGCCTGGACCATGACTGACAGATGCATGAAGGAGTTCAGTGAAGATCTAAGGGGGTAATAAGTATAGACTTCTTGCCTAGCACACACAAGGCTCTGGAGCTGAGGTGTATCACACATATACACATACACACATGCAGATACACACACACATACACATACACACATATACACGCTTGCGCGTGCATACACACACACACACACACAAGGTTTTACTTGTGTTCTGGCAGATGTTTGTAACACTTGTGTCCAGGAAGCTGAGGCAGGAAGATTATACATTTGACGCCAGCCTAAACTACATAGTGAGACCCTGTCTCAAACAAAACAAAACAAACATTTTAAAAAGGAACCCAATGGAGGCCATTATAAATGCTCTTAGGCACATGAACAAAAGTAAATATCTGCAGGCACATGCCACATGGTTTGTGTGTTTCTTTGTTTAATGGTGATTTTTGGTTTTGTTTTACTATTGTTGTAGATGGCTGGAACTCTCTATGTAGACCAGGCCGGCCTCCAATTCATAGATCTGTGCCTCCGTCTGCTGAGTGGTGGGACTAGGCATATACACCCCCGGCCAGGTGGTCAAATAGTGTTTTGACAATGGCTAACATAAGGATTGTCAACTTAAAAAGAGCCCATCCCTCCCGCAGGCCAGCAGGGTTTTGTTCCCTTAGCTAGCAAGAGAACGTACAGCGAGGCAGGCTCATATTCTTCCACTGTGTCGTCCTGGCCAAAGTCAGTCACACTACTCTGCCTCAGTTTGGGGACTAGAAAGTCACATCTTGAGAAGGGAATCAGATTGGGTTTCACAGGCAAGCCATCTGTTTGTTGTGATGCTGTCTCTGCAGTCTATGCAGATACAAGGTATGTTCACCCACATTCTGGGACTCCAAATCTATCTATCTATCTAATCTATCTATCTATCTATCTATCTATCTATCTATCTATCTATCATCTATCTACCTATCCACCTATCATCTACTTATCTCTCTATCATCTATCTATCTATCTCTCTATCATCTATCCATCTATCATTTATTTATCTCTCTATCATCTATCTATCTATCTATCTATCTATCTATCTATCTATCTATCTATCATCTATCTATCCATCTATCATCTATTTATCTCTCTATCATCTATCTATCTATCTATCTATCTATCTATCTATCTATCTATCTATCATCTATCCATCTATCATCTATTTATCTCTCTATCATCTATCTATCTATTATCTATCTATCTATCTATCTATCTATCTATCTATCTATCATCTATCTATCTATCTATCTATCCATCATCTATCTATCTATCTATCTATCATCTATCTATCCATCTATCATCTATTTATCTCTATCATCTATCTATCTATCTATCTATCTATCTATCTATCTATCTATCTATCAATCATCTATCTATCTATCCATCTATCATCTATCTATCTATCTATCTATCTATCTATCTATCATCTATCTATCTATCTATCTATCCATCATCTATCTATCTATCTATCTATCATCTATCTATCCATCTATCATCTATTTATCTCTATCATCTATCTATCTATCTATCTATCAATCATCTATCTATCTATCCATCTATCATCTATCTATCTATCTATCTATCTATCTATCTATCTATCATCTATCTATCTAAAACCACACTCAGCAGAATGCAAGCTTTGTGTGTAGTACTCCTTTAAGTACTTGTTCTCATGCCGTCTTAAATGCTCAGTCTGGCGTTATGTCAGTCGGAGAAGAAAGCAGTAGATTACAGCAATGACTCTTTGGGTTTCCTTTGGCCCTAAGGTGTGGTTTGTGGTTTCCATGCTGTCCCTTTCACTGGTTTTCCTTCTCACCTTTCATACACTTCTGCGATTAGGTGATGGCCATTTCAGGGACCAGCAAGTGTGCATAATCCCCAATTAGAGCTGCATTTTGCCAAGCCCGGCTTCTTGCATCAGAGCCCTTCACTGGACACCTTGGCTCTGTGCAGTACCTGGCAGTTTTCAAGGCACTTCCACATTTGTGCCTTCTCCGACTCCACAGTCTCCCGTGAGACCTGTTGTCGCCTGTTTGGAAGATGAAGAAGCCAAGTGATTTCCATAAAGAAACAGCTCAGCTAACTGCATGGTTAGAAGTCGAGGGTAGGTTCTTGCCTCTTCCCTTTGGACTCCTGGCACACACCACTATCTCCAGCCTGAGGTTTGGCAGACAGGTGTTCAAGGGTTACCTGAATAACGCTTCTGTCTAGGGTGAGCCAAGTGGAAACAAGGCAGTCTTAAAGAGGCTATTAGAAATTTCCAGAGCTCCACTTGGGGCTGCTTTGGTGCAGAACGCTGAGGATTGTATAAATGCGTGCACCTTGTAACAACAGTCTGTCTCGGAATCCAGAACACAGTTGTACATTGTGGCTCCGTCACTCCGTAGCTGTGTTTTAAAACCATGTCATGAGTCTTTGAAAGGCCTATTTGAGACATCATGCTCCACCAGGAGGCATGGTCCATTTCAAAGCGGAGCTATTTGCTGCTGCAGGAAGTGGTAAGTATAGACGAAGGGGGACATCCCTGCACGCTACCCCAGGGAGCTTCGCTCTGATCCATAAAGCGAAGGTCTTAGCTGTGCACTCGGGGGCGACATCTGCCTTGTCCTTTCTTCACATTCTCTCACTTGTGTGTCAGGCAGTGGTGCTGTTATTTGTCTCCGTGTGAACAATTATCCCGATCCAACGTGGACTGCAGTGTTTCCTGGAACGTGAACATTCGTGTTAAAACTAGGCCAGTCCCAGGCAATGCCTGGCCACCCTGCTTCATCCATCCTCTGTATAGAACCTTCGAGGAGCAGATGGGCAAGTCACTCCTCACCCGAGGGCAGCCAGTGTCTCTCTCCCATGTTGTCTGCTCTACACACAAGCGCTCTGGTGTGGAGAAGGGCTGTGGTATGAGAGAGTTACAGGAATGAGGAAAGGGGGACTTGTCTTGGCCTCCAGAACCGGGCTGCAAGCAACCAAGGATGAAGATGCTTAGGAATTAGGAAAACCTTCTCCAGGTATTGACTTGTCCCGGGTCACTAACTTACTGTATCTCTGTTTCTCCTCTGTGAAGAGGAGAACCCCCTAAAGTTGTCAAAATTCCCATCTCTATTAGATATCCTAAAGTCTCATTATGTAGGCCCTCCCCTATTACTGCAACTCATTTTAGTTGACCTTCTAGGAATGTCTCATCCAGCCACTTTGGAAGGCTTTTTTATCTTCTCAGTCTAAATGAGAAAAGCCAATTGGCCAGTCACGGAGTAAGGTCTCAAGGTTCCTGTTTATCTTAATGAAATTTCTCAATATACTGGGAGTGTTGATATTTGCCTTTTCTGATATATTTACCACTAGTTATGATGACTACTCATTTTTAGAAAGATTTAAATTTTAGCTCCTGAGTAACCATAGACTGTAGAGTCTGGAGAGGAACCATGGGAGTTATTTAGTCAGTTTACTACAATGGGATGGTCTTAAGTGTGGCAGAGGCAGTGATGTTGCAAAAGTCAATTAAAAACATGAACACAACCCTTCTCTGTTGCTTTTCTTATGCCAGTGTAGGGACTGGGCCATATCTTTAGTAGACAATAGAAAGTACCTGGAAGTAACATTAATTCACCAAATGGAAAGGTTGTGGGAAAGCAGTTTTTATGATGGACAAAAAAAAAAAAGAGAGACTATTTTGCTTATCATTGACATGAGGTAAAATTCAAATTACATGTCTGAAAGCAGTGTTATACTGTCCCTGTTTAGGAATTAAATTAAATCCTCAAACAGTAGGGATGTGAACATCCAAGAGCAGAGTATCAGCTCCAACTCTATCCCTGGAAGTTGTGAGATCTGGAGCAATTTCCTCTCTGAGAGAGAAAGTTGGCTGGGCCCCTAGCATCCACATATTGGGTCGCTGTTGTGATGACACTCAGGGCTTTGCTGTCAATACTGATATAACCCACACCCTTGATCATAGCCACAAATATTGTTTAATACTCACTGAGAGTGTCCTCAGTTACTTCCTTCACGCTGCCGTAATTGAATCTCCAAGCATCTTACGCCTGGCAAGGCTTTCTGGGACCCACACATCATCTGTATGACTTGGAACAAGGCCTTTCATCTCTCTGAACTGTAAACTGAGGCTTTAGGACTTCTCACAGGCATGGGCCCTTTGAAAGTGCCTATGTGACATCTTGACCCACACAGCTTGGGTCCTGGAATACTGAAGAGGGGTGGAAAGGGACTGAAGAAAGGCCAGATGTTGTAGAATATTATTTTAATATGTATTACATTTGTTTATGCTGTGGAACATTTGCTTTAATGATGCAATGATACATTGCATTCTTTTATGTTACATTTGTTTAACTCTGTGAAGCTGTCATTCTTTGCCTGTTTAAAACACCTGATCGGTCTAATAAAGAGCTGAACGGCCAATAACAAGGCAGGAGAAAGGCGGGGCTGGCATGCAGAGAGAATAAATAGAAGGAGATATCTGGGAAGAGGAGATCTAGGAGCTAAAGAAGGAGAAGGAGGAGGACTCCAGGAGCCAAGCACCCAGCTACACAGTCAACCACAGAGTAAGAAGTAAAGAAAGGTATAGAGAAAGTAAGGTCCAGAGGCAAAAGGTAGAATGGACAATTTAAGTTAGAAAAGTCAAATAGAAACAAAACAAACTAAGACCGGACATTCAGAAGAAACAATACACACAGTGTGGTTTATTTGGGAGCTGGGTGGCGGTTCCCCAAAAGAGTAAAGAGCCCAAAGAGTAAAAAACAACCAACAACAGCCAGACACACAGATACAAGCACAAAAAACTGGGGCTTCAGGTGGGCTGTGTTCATTCTGATGGAATGGGCAACTGTGCCAATTTCCCATGGATCTTTTGGTTGTACCTATGTCAACAATATGTCAACTCAGGACTTTGCTCACTCAGGGGCCCCCTTTCTCCTCCCTATCAGGGGGTCTGTACTAGCCTGTGTTTCAGGAAACCCTTTCAGTCCCCAGCACCTTTCTGGTACCTCAGTGAATGTTCTTAGGAGCCACATACTTTTGGAACCTAGAACACAAAAAGACCTCTGGGGTCTTTTTCTTGATTTAGTTCCCTTCACAACAAATGTCCCTTGATTCTTTTTTCTCCCTCCCTCTCTCCCCCTCCCTCCCTCTCCCATCCTCCCTTTCAGATCTCATGCAAACCAGGCTGATCTTGAACTCATTCTGTAGCACAGGACTTTGAACTGCTGACCCTCCTGTCTCTACCTCCCCAATGCTAGGATTACAGCTGTACACCACCAGGCTTGGTTTATACAGTGCTCCGGATTGAACCTATGGCTTCGACACCCCAAGTCCCTTTCTTGCTTTTCTTTCAAATATTCCCCAGGTAGAGATTTCACCATCATCTTTAGAAACCAGGCCAGCTTTAACAGCATCAACCTGCCCAGGACCATCTTGTAACTCCCCTGAGTGTAACCCTATTTGAGATCTGATACTGCCTTCATCTCCCTCACTCATGCTATGCTGTGCAGACTCTGGTGCATTCTTGCTTGCATGTCTGTTTTCCAGAACTTGTCGTAATGCATTCTTTTCTGAAGGAAAGACTGAGGTTCAAGGTGGTACTGATTCCACCTTGAATCATTAGAGCCGG